TGGAAGCGATGCGTTAGAGTGCCTCGAGCGTGCAGCGGAGGCGAACGAGCGCATCAAGTCACGGTACACGTGAGACATAAGCGCTATCTGGCACTTATCTAGGAAAACGAAGCGCGCGGCGTAAGGTGTAGAACGCAAGGCGACGGGTACGTGCCACCACCATGTCGTTTTAGCAAAGCGTTGGAAACACTTGCCTTTTCGTGCAAGCGTAGCAACGTCAGCGAAGCGTGATAAGCGCTACGGTCCTTATAATTAGCTATGTATGCCTTTTTTTTAGTAAAAAGAAACATACAGAATATTGACGTGTTGTTACGGTGCCTCAGACATGCGCAATAATTGCTTTTTAATACACAATCGCACAAGTATAAACGCTTAACTTTGAGCAATATTGGTGGGCGCTGCGGATGGGGTCGGCCGTATGGGGTATCGTTTGGTGTCGTTTAAGGTATCGTTAAGGGGGACACAGAGACAAATGTACAGACTGACAGACCAAAATTTTTGCGTCGAAGGTCTCCAAGAAAGACTATCGTCTTTAAAAGTGAAGAAGGACTCCATTTTCCAGTCACCTAGACAACTGCATAAGGGACCGAGCGACATTTATGTGCGAAGCACTTCAGGAGTTCGAATTGTCGTATGCTGTCATCTCATGTCGCTGGAATTACGTAGACGAAACTATGTAGATCATATCCATGTACAGCATAGTCATATGGTATAGCAAGATATCGGGAAAGGGAAGTGAGTGCAAGGAGGAGCGGTGTAAGGCGAGGGTAGGGAATGAAGAAACCGAGAGGGTATGGAATAACGTAGCCATGCGTAGCAAGGGAGGAATGATAAGTGCGTGTGCACAGCGGAATTGGGAGTCTCGGGAGGAGGAAAAAGACGAGAGCAGTGTAGAGCGCAACGAAGCAGTGTATATTACAGTAATGATAAGAGGTGGAAAGTTGAAGTGAGAGAGAGGAAGATAGTTATATTGGGTTTATTGGCGCAAGAGCGAGTCAGGCTAAGCTGCGCCTAACACAAAGTACATGGTGATGGCCAGTATATACATTTTAATCCTAAAGCTTATGGTGGAATCCACTTTCTTTTAGGGAATTAACAACGTTCGACAGTGGAACAAGTGAATCATCTCCTAAAATTTGATTCGGGTGCATCGGTGTGTGGTGTTTGTATAGTGCTCTGAAATTCTTTCGTCTTTCTGCTTCAATGTATGGGCACGTGATTAGGATATGTAAATCCGTTAATGTCTGTTGACATTTTTCACATCCCGGCAAATCTTCTAAGCAAAAAGCTGTGAGTGAGGTGAGTGTGCCCAATGCGGAGTTGGCATAGGATGACCTCAATAGAGGAAGAGGCGGGCTGAAGATAGCATAGCCATGTATGCTATCCGCAATGCAACTGGGTGGGAAACGAAAAATAAGGAGGCGGGAAGTGTTGGAAGTGTGAATAGGAAGGAAGGGAGTGTGGGGAGTGTATATGCCTCGATGACGATATTAAGGCAGGCAAGACTACATATATAGCATAGCCAACTCTAGCATTACGAGCGCTCGCTCCCGCCAACGAAGTATAATTCTTATTGATCATCGAGGATGATGTAAAGTGGGTGAGATACTGTGGCTAAGGAAACACGAAAACACAAAAGCACACATGAAAATCGAAACACAATGCAAGAGATGAATAAAAAAAATAAAAAACACGAAAATGTAGAAATAAATACATCAATATATGGAAAGGAAGAGAAAAAACACCAAAAAACTGCAACAGAGAACAAAAAAGAAAGAGAATAAAAAACAAAAACCGAAAGAGAAAAATGAAGGCTGCCCAGCTACGCACTTTCTCTATAGGCTTGGAACCGCTATAGGGAGAAGCCGTTTTTTTTTCGTCGCCCTAAAGACACTCCTCTAACATAATTGCTGCTTGAGATGGCCAACTTGCCGTGACATGGTTAGCAGTTACGTATATTTTGTCCCAATCAATCCAACATTCACACATCGTTCAAGACAATTTGGGAGACATTAAAAATGGCATGGATGGTGCGTGACGAGGCTATGTCACGCCCACAGTAGCGCAACTTACTGTGGGTGTGACAAAACTTCTAAGTTATGAATGATAAATTTCACAAAAAATGCATAAAACAATGTGTATTATCTTGCAGAACTTGCTCTTTTGTTGTTTCCAAAGGCTGGCACGCTCTTTGTGACGCACTCTGGCAGCGTGAGAACCTTTCCTTACTGCTCGTTTTCCAATTACGCCATACAGCTCCAGTTGGTTTTACAGAGTCATTGCCATCCGTAATGGCATCACGCCATGTCGCGTTTTCTCTTCACGCGAAATCCAAGCGCAAAGAAATGATACCAAAGCTATATAGTACTTCTTTCGTCTCGCTCAGATGCATATCAATAACTCCGTGTAGCCTTTGCGCTCGAATTCCAGCTTTGTTCGCTATGTCAAGGGCTGCTGCACTCCTTAGCATTATTCCACAACGTTCTTGCTCTGTTTTAAACTTCTATAATTTTCTCTAAGAAGCTCATGGCTCACGGAGTTCATTTTCACGAGCGATTTACTGCTCTGCTCGTTTGAAATCACTTTCCTTGCGTCTCATGATGTAAGGCGAATTGCTCTGCGATCCTCGAAATCTGGGCGCAGTCAGGGTGGCGTACGCACTCGCGCTATAATTTAATTACATGCAGACACGAACTCGAAACGAAATTTGTAACGTACTTGAAGCTCCTTTACATGGTTTGGCTGAAACGAGTCATTCGTCTGTATGCTTTATTCAGACAGCGATTCCAAGTTACCATTTTTTTTTCTCCTGGCTTTCTTATTTGTTGTACAAGTACACACTGAATTTTCGTTGGAGTAGCCATAACACGCCAATCTCTTTGGATTCCAAAGTTGTTTCGAGTTCACTTGAAAATGTCTGTGCTGTGAGTGCCACTATAGGGAGGTGAGGGGATGTTCTAAATAACGTTTTACAATACAGCCCTTATTGAAACACTAGAACTTGACAATTAATGCTCTGTAAATGTGAAGTCGTATGTTATCAGGTCCTCTCTCTACCTTACTTACTTTCGTCCTCACTCATTTCATTTTCTTTGTTTTATTGGCATAACACTAATAACAATGATGATACTCATTTTTTTTAGTGACTCGAGTACAGAGTGATACTTTTGTTTTACTACAGTGCACTTTCAGTCGACCATTTACTTCCAGTTTTCGTAATATTCAGAAGTCTTCAAGGAAGCAGCACTGGTACGAAATCTATCGTTCACGTTCAAGTCAAGAGTTATATCGGATACATGTGACACGGGATCATAGGTTTGCTTGAGACAAGTGCCAACTGTCTGTCTGCGTAGGTAATGAATATTACCTGAATGAGTTCATTGAAAGCGCAGGCTCTCTTCTTGTGAATAGACGCGATCCTTGAAGGCACCTAGCGGATCATATTAAAACCGCGTGCTCCTTTCTACGTGGCATCTGAGGCTCGCTTCGTAAGCGGGGCGAAACAACGTTAACCCAACAAATACACATGAATGCCCACACACGAATGCCCACACACAATTGCCCACACACGAATGCCCAGGTGAGAGCATAGGCTTGTGCACACGAGGGGGGGGGGGGGTCGACGGTGCGCCCCCTTAGTCTTATAAGAGGGCGGGGGAAGCGATAAGTGAGCCCATACATTCACATAATGTGAAGAAGGTCTGCAGCGACTCCGGGGGGGGGGGGGGTAGATCCAAGTCTACGCGGCAAAGCTCCCCCCCCCCCCCCCCTTGAAGAGGAACCCTGCTCATGCCTATGGGTGCGGGTACCGTTCCCCTCCCTATCCACCTACCCTTCTGCATCGACATGTGTGCGAGTGTCATCAACCTGTCGAGGATCGCGTTCCGTGCTGAAGAACCTGCGACACGCTTGCACTGTTTTTACTTGAAGCTTCGAGAAAAAACAGCCTCTTCCTTATTACGGTTGCACAGTTAGCCCACGTGGCGAGAGCAACTCCGATGCCCACCTTCAAACCCGATACTCGGCTATCGCATTAATTATTTAAAACCATCTTGCGATGGGTAACAAGATGAACCTTGGAAACGAATGAGACGCCATTAGAAAAATCAAATGCGCTTCGAAGAAAGTTAACAGCACGTTTTTTTCTTCTTCTTTTTCACAAAAGGAAATTAATTGCATTGCTGTCGTCAACTTTCCCGAGTATCTTACTTGAACTCTCTTCGTTTCTTAGGTAGATTATTATTATTATTATTATTATTATTATTATTATTATTATTATTATTATTATTATTATTTCTGCTTTTTTAGCCAAATTTCGGCAAGTATATGAAGCACGTCTAAGTGGAGAGCTCTGGATATTTCGAGCAACTAAGCACCTTTAACGTGCGCCAAAATTTAAGTACAAGGCACTCCCTAATTTCCGCCCCCATTTTTACACCACAGCAACGGCCGGAGTCAAACTCGCAACATTCGGTCCAGCAGTCAATTAAGCACCACTTTACACTGTTTGCATTTTAGTTGAAAGATCTGAATATCTAACTACACGATTATAAGGCTTTTAAGCAAATATCGGTGCCAAAAGTGGCGCAACCACCAACACGTCGACTCTTGCACGATCAGTGTCGATGCAAAAAATATTTGTTGACAAACTCAAAATTAGACCAATAAACACATATACGAACGTTCGCACTCTAGGTTTCGGTACTGCAACGTCATTGTTCCTGCAGGAGGTGAGTGCTTGAAAAAAAAAATTGGCGGTGTATCGGCGTGCAAATGTCGTTGAAAGACGATAGTTTTCTATCTTGAGAGAGAGAATAAAACTTTTATTTGACTTAGCAGTGTGGCAGTTTGGGCTAGTTAGTTTGACATGACCATAGTTATAGCACGACAACGGAACGACAACAATGAAACAAAAAAAAAACACGAACGCTATTTGACGCTTTGTTAAGGCCCCTGTATTTTTCAAAGGTAGCGCAAACCGTTGTACAAAAAGCAGAGGAGAATTTCCTCCCCGCCCTCTACGTCTCTCCTCACTCCGGCGCGCGTTTCTGCTACCCTATTGGACCAGGCGCGACACGTGACCAATGAACCTTGTTGACCCCTCGGCTCCGCCGGGCAGCGACGCCATGAGTGAGCGCACTGCATCTCGCTCCCACGTGTGTTGCCTTTAGCAAGGCGGCCTCGGATGCAGCGCAATGCCGACCTGCTGTGCCGTTGGCTGCTCCAGCAGCATTGCAAAAGGCGACAAGCTTTTTGCGGTTCCACGAGGGAAAAATAATGAGGAGCGGAGAGCGGTATGGCTGCATCGCATCGCCAGGAAAAACTTCGATTGTCACCGAGGGAGGCTTTGCGAGGTAAGCACTCACTACAGAACTTCTTCGCGTAGACATGCCTCCGGAAGGCTTTCAGATAAAGCTCATCCTTGGTTCAGGTTCATGTTAAACAACAGCAGCTTGAAGTTTCCGTCGACGCTTTCTCGCACGATTTCAACCACGATGACAGCTCGATCGTTTTTAGCTTGCTCGAATATTCGAATACGGCCACAACATAATTACTGTTGAATGTTTGGCGTTCGCGATTTGCTTTCTAAATGGAACCATTTGCAGCGGAAGCAATTATGCTTCTCCAGAGATCAACCACGTCTTTGATCGTTTTTCCTTTTTTTTTCGCTCGAACTTTGATTACCTGTAGGCAAAATTTCGGCGTTTATTGTTGTATTGTGGTTTATTGTGTTCTCAGTTTGTATTCTTTCATATTTATCTCACTTTTGCGCACTTCCATGACCGAATTTTGTGAATGCGTGTACAGCTAATATAAGAGAGTGTATGGTAAATATAATGTTGTATAGTTGTTTATTTGTGAAATGCATAGATACTTTCGTTCAAATTTCGAACATACTTGCGAAGTTGTACACTTTCGATTAACAAAGAGAAAGGCACCTACTAAATGCAAGAAAATCATCTGGCTTTTGTGGCTGTTTGCATTTTTAACGTAAGAAGCAAAATATTTTGCTTCGGCAATATCACATCAGCCAAACTGCAAAAATGCGATAGAGGATGTCGGTATTTTTCAGAAACACTTCACGATGGATCAGTATGAGCCAGCAATTCTGGCACAAACTGGGATCAAGAAACTCAAGCCAAATGCGGTTCCTTCTATATTTGCGCATCGGCCTCTTCCGAAAGAGCGCAAGCCACCCCGCAAAAGGGGGAATGAAACGGTTCCTGGTGAGGCCCCTTTGTAGTTTCTATTCCTCTCTTGTGTTGTGAATGCGATTATGTTTTGGGGTTTATATGACAATACAGTGTGTTTGGATCGCTGGCAGATAGCATAGTTGCTACATTTATCTTTATGACCTGTAAACCTGATTAATTCGGCATCCAATTCTGTCTTACTGTGGCAGCAAACATCCCCACCCCTACACTGTACTTGCTCAACTCTTGCTAACAGCTGTATTCTTGGATGAGCCAGAAACGTCAGTGGGGAGGGCCCCGAACGCTGAACCAGTGGCCAGTTTATTTTGTGGGTTGACTGCACTGTGATGACAAATGTTCGAACCTTTAGACTGTGTACTTACACAATTCATGCTTACAGCTGCCTCCTCGGACAACACAGCAACGTCAATAGACCGCGACCCTGAACCAGTGGGCAGCCCATTTTGTGAGTTAACTGCACTGTGATGGCAAATGTTCACGCCTCTAGCCTCTGCATTTACAATTCATGCTTACAGCTGCCTCCTGGCAGCTGTAAGCATGAATTGCATCATGCATCAAATCAGAGGCTATCTCTGATCAGAAGCATCAAATCACAGGCTATCTGATTTGATAGCGAAATTGTTTCGCCCTGTCGTCGCTCTACTGGAATGTTTTGCAGCGTTCGTGATCATTCGATGCTTCCCGCATTTTATTTGCGCACTCAATAAAATCTACCTTCATCCCACTAAACGTTTGTGGTATTTTATGGGATGAATCGTTTACACGCGTCCCATTATGGAAGCAGGCATGCATGTCCCAAATTTCAGTAGGGCTCTGTTGTTCCTGTACAAACTCGAGCTCTAAGAGCACTCATATTAACTTTTCAACGTAAGGCCCCTAGGGGCCTTACTTCAACGCGCTGCGCGACAAAACGAAACCGTCTGGCGGCGCGCTCCGCGTGAGTCGCTCCTTCATGGCGGCTGAGAGTGGCGGGCGAGGAGGAAACGGCGCGGGGAAGGGAGTTTGCGCTACCTTTGAAAAATACAGGGGCCTTAGGTATATGTAGAGCTAGGGCCTCGAGTGCATCGTAAAGGACCCAATATACTCTAACGTAACGTTGGCGTGAGCTCGCTGGCCCACAGCGACGCTACATTAGCAAAACGCGAGAACTCCTATCGTCTGACGCCAAGCGCGACTGGCGTCCGTCCGCACGGCCCGACGGCAACGCCGACGCGCCCTTGCGTCGGGTCACGTCGAAGTGTAATGGCGCCCTGTCTGTGGCATGTAGTGATGTTCTCACATGACACTCATCTCATTATTATCATGTTCTCACCAGTCACGTAACTTCGTCATCAATTGACGTCGCGTATTACCCATATGTGAACCTAGCGAAACGGTCGCGAGCGCATCATGAGTGTGGCATGTAGTCATGTTGTCACATGACACGCATGTCGCAATTATAATGTGTGGATGTGTTATTTACCTATGTCGTCCGTTCGCGTCACGTAATACCGAATTTGGTAAATGTGAAGCTAGCGAAACGGCCGCGAGCGCATCATGAGCGTAGCATGTAGTCATGTTGTTACATGACAGGCATATCATGTTTATCATGTTTGCTTCAGTATCATACCTTCGTAATCTATTTACGTCCCGTAATACCAAATTTGGTATAAGTGAAGCTAGTGAAACGGCCGCCCGCGCATCATGAGCGTGGCATATAGTCATGTTGTTACATGACACGCATCTCATGATTATCATGTTTGCACCAGTCACATACGTTTCTCTTGCATTCACGTACTGCAATACCAAATTTGGTATATGTGACGCTAGCGAAACGGCCGCCAGAGCATCATGAACGTGGCATGTAGTTAAGTTGTTACATGACACGCCTATCATGATTTTCATGTCAGGGTCTGTCGATTGTGTTCTGCATGCAATCATGCCATACCACACCTGTTTTGCAACATGTCATGTGAACAAAACCACCGCAAGAGCAACAAGACCATGAGATGTAAAGCATGACATTCATGACATGCATGTCATGATTTTCATGTTATGACCAGTCAAATATTCTCATGATACATTCATGTTATACCCACTTTGTAAGTTATGAGCGCCATCTAGCATCAAGTTGGGAAAACAAATATTTCCTAAAATGCGAAGTCGCTGGTAGGTTGCAGCACCAAGTAGTTTTAATGAAAAGTTGGAAACACTCGTTTTTTTCGGCCACAGAGTTGCAAATCCAGCGCCATGTAATAAACACTGCGGTCTTTATAATCACGTATTTACGCACTTTAAAAATAAAGTAACGCACAACCTACTAAACACGTAAAGATGTAGCAGCAAAATATGCGTATTATTTGTTTTTTGATTAAGAACGTCCACACGTATAAACGAGAAAACCGGATTAAGATGAGTGGTCGCTCAGGAAGATTCCAAACTTTAATCATGTTATTGCCTAGCGAGACTAATAATTCTTCGTAACCATGGTCGTGCATACGAATTCCCGGATAAGTTCCTTGACCTTATCAACGCTATGTACACTAATTACAAAGTACCCTTTGCTTAGATTCCCGTGAGAGTCACGCATTTAGAGTCACGCGTGGGGTCCGTCAAGGGTGTCCCCTCTCCCCAGTGTTAATTATCCTTGCATTAGAACCCTTCTTAAGGGCCGTTGAACATCACCCGCAGATTCGTGGCTTACCTCTACCCGGTAACACTCAAGTAAAGGTCGCTGCATATGCAGATGATATCACTCTATATGTACATAATGAACAGTCGCTGCAGCATGCTCTTGATACATTCCATGATTTCGGTATTATCTCCGGTGCAAAGTTAAACTTTTCTAAAAGCCAGTATTTTTCCATTGGCAACCCCAGCGGTCATATCAACATCACGTCGCCTTTACAGTGGTCTCCTGAGATTTCAATACTCGGAGTTACTTTCACTGTATTTGGTATACAGGATAGAATCTGGTCATCCGTTGTACAAACTCTTCTAAATGATATCAAAGCAGCCAGGCACTTCGAATTCCCCCTCTTGGAACGCCGATACTTAACTCAAACGGTGTACCTAGGAAAATTTTGGTACCTTTGCCATTCTGTTAAACCACCGCTCCACGTCTGCAGGAAAGTGCAAAGCTGCATCAGTTCATTTTTTTGGTCTGGTGGCACAGAATTGTTATCGCGTCCAGCGTTAGCTCAACCGCGAGATCAAGGCGGTTTTGCATTCCCTGACGTTTCCGTCGCGGCTTTTACTTTGTGCCTCCGCACTCTATTGCGAATACTAAGCAATGATGACATGCCCGCTCAGACACTGGCTCGCTACCATCTTGGGCCATCACTACGTGTCTTCTTGCCGGATAGCCAAATAAACAAAGGTCCCCAATCAACTGAATTACCCTCTTTGTATCGAGCCCTTCTGGCATTTCACCGACGTTTGGAAGCTACGTGCCCAGAGATAGAGGTGGCCGATTCTAAAGTGGTGGACACAATGGCCGCCCTTCTACGGCCCTTGGTGCCCCAGCATCGTCAATCTGTATTGAACCGCGCTTGGAAACCAATAACTGCCGCAGTGTTGCCAGGGCATCTCAGAGACTTTGTCTGGAGGTTGGGCTGGGGCTTGCTCCCAACGCGACATCGGTTGCAGCGATGGCAGGTAGTTCGCACTTCCACTTGCCCCAACTGCGTCATGGTAGAGACCAATCGACATGCGACGTTTGAATGTGTGGTTTCCCGCCTTTTTTGGCGTGCGGTTAATGCTGGTTTTCGGGGAAAGGGTGTGCGAACTTTCGTGTCCAACGGCCGATTTCCGCGTAGCCGCTTCTCCGCTCTCTTAATAGTTGCGGGGCTGTTCAGCCTTTGGAGAAACCGATGTGAGGCCGTAGCTGCCAATTGCCGCCGACGTGCCTTGTGGCCGATACTGGGGAGAATGAGACGAGAGATCCTCGCGTTCCTCTCCGAAGAGCTTTTCTTCCTCGGGGAGCAAGAGTTTCTGCGGCATTGGTCGTGCCCTTTCGTCAAGGTGGAACACGAAAGGATACAACTCATTTTTCGACCGACTTGGTGCTAAGCAGCGCCCGTTGAGTTGTTATATATGATTTCATTTGTTACAAATTATGTTTCATTTGGATCTATTGTATCGTTATACCCTTGTATAGTGATATCACATTGAATGTTTGTGTACATGTGCGCCAACATAATCATGTATATTAGAGCAAATGTCTTCACTGTAACGTAGTGATGTTAGTCGTGAAATATAGATGTGCCGAAGTGTATGTGCCCTGTTACTAAAATGGTATGAAGCCTTTGTGTTCTGTACATGCTGTAAATAAACTTTTTCTAAACAGGACGTGCATACAAATTCCCGGATAAGTTCATTGACCTTATCAACGCTATGCACACTAATTACAAAGTACCCTTTACTTAGATTCCCGTGAGAGTCACGCATTTAGAGTCACGCGTGGGGTCCGTCAAGGGTGTCCCCTCTCCCCAGTGTTAATTATCCTTGCATTAGAGCCCTTCTTAAGGGCCGTTGAACATCACCAGCAGATTCGTGGCTTACCTCTACCCGGTAACACTCAAGTAAAGGTCGCTGCATATGCAGATGATATCACTCTATATGTACATAATGAACAGTCGCTGCAGCATGCTCTTGATACATTCCATGATTTCGGTATTATCTCCGGTGCAAAGTTAAACTTTTCTAAAAGCCAGTATTTTTCCATTGGCAACCCCAGCGGTCGTATCAACATCACGTCGCCTTTACAGTGGTCTCCTGAGATTTCAATACTCGGAGTTACTTTCACTGTATTTGGTATACAGGATAAAATCTGGTCATCCGTTGTACAAACTCTTCTAAATGATATCAAAGCAGCCAGGCACTTCGAATTCCCCCTCTTGGAACGCCGATACTTAACTCAAACGGTGTACCTAGGAAAATTTTGGTACCTTTGCCATTCTGGTAAACCACCGCTCCACGTCTGCAGGAAAGTGCAAAGCTGCATCAGTTCATTTTTTTGGTCTGCTGGCACAGAATTGATATCGCGTCCAGCGTTAGCTCAACCGCGAGATCAAGGCGGTTTTGCATTCCCTGACGTTTCCGTCGCGGCTTCTACATTGTGCCTCCGCACTCTATTGCGAATACTAAGCAATGATGACATGCCCGCTCAGACACTGGCTCGCTACCATCTTGGGCCATCACTACGTGTCTTCTTGCCGGATAGCCAAATAAACAAAGGTCCCCAATCAACTGAATTACCCTCTTTGTATCGAGCCCTTCTGGCATTTCACCGACGTTTGGAAGCTACGTGCCCAGAGATAGAGGTGGCCGATTCTAAAGTGGTGGACACAATGGCCGCCCTTCTACGGCCCTTGGTGCCCCAGCATCGTCAATCTGTATTGAACCGCGCTTGGAAACCAATAACTGCCGCAGTGTTGCCAGGGCATCTCAGAGACTTTGTCTGGAGGTTGGGCTGGGGCTTGCTCCCAACGCGACATCGGTTGCAG